AGCCAGTCTCACTATGCCACTCTTGGTAGAATGCCATGGTATCATATTTCACAGCAACCTCAAACTCTTGGGCTTAAGAGACTCTCTTGCCTCAGTTCCCAAGTAGCTGGGACTACAGGCACCTGCCACAACGCCCAGCTATTTTATTGTAGTTGTCACTGTTGTTTAACAGGCCCGGGCTGGGTTCAAACCTGCCAGCCCCGGTGTATGCGGCCAGCCCCCTAACCACTGAGCTACAAGCACCGAGCCTTTCAAACCAATTAGTACTATTCTAACCCAAGCAATAATACAGACACACAATATTTAATTAATTAGTCGAACATTTTGCATATTTTATTTACACATTTAACAGGCAGTGAAAGTAGTAATACTTTCCTGAAATAACAGCCTTAAAAAAACTCAGAGTTGAAAGCATAATATAGCAATATTGAGAGTATGCAATAAAAAAATAGTGAAAATTACTATGAGCACTAGAGTTCACATTCATAACTACTAAACTACATCATGCTTTATAATGGCAAGTTTCATATAACTAGAATTCTTAAGATGAGAAGCTTTGAAACTAGTTTTTCTAATTCATCTCCACCTGGACAGAGTGTATCGTCAATGATAATAACATAAATATCCACCGTCACATTTACAGAACACTACTGCTGGCACCTAGTGCTTAAAACACCTGAAAAATCAACCAGATAAAAAGCTGTACTGTAAACTATAGCTGCTAAGAAGCTGAATCCCATTAAGTGACAAAAGAAAGCTCTAAGTAAGGAAGTCTGGAGGTAAGTCAACAGTATAAATAAATGACACTGATGACAGCTACGTAAGTTTCCACTTAAAAAAAGATTTTAAGCCAATAGGCCTTATAAACTCAGTAAGCAGGGGTTTCAGATGGTGAAATTAAAGTAGTAAACTAGGGAACTCACCATTGACCACTGAGGATCAACTTATTAGGTGACATAGATAGCCCTACTTTCATACTTATGAGTCTCCAGAATTCTAAAAAAGGACCTAGATTCTTTCTTATTTAAAGGTCTAACTTAAAAGTACATTTGACTCAATTTCTGATAATAGTCTTAGAATGATCCATAGCCTAGTTAATTTCTTATGGGCACTTATAATAAAGAATATGATTCAAAGAAACTTGCAAACTAACATTGTCCTGTAACATTGTCTAGGAGAGTCAAGTAAGCATATGAAGGTTGGAAACAAAAAAATTCCATGTTGAAAAAATGGAAAAGCTTGATAATTGTTTCTCCTAATATGGAAACTCACTGACGAGTTTTTAACCATTTTGGTCACAAACTCCTTGAGGAATTTGATGAGAGCTAAGATCTCCTCCCAAGAAAAAATGCACATGCACTTGGCACCG